GGAAATGTATTTCTAAAAACTCACATCAAGTTTGACAAAAAAACCCACTATCTTCAACCCTACTAATCTAAAATAACTAAATTATGACGTCAGCATGACGCGGAGCTTGAGTAATACGGCCAAATGACGAAGACGCGTGTTTTGTTGTGCCAATACATTTGGTGTCGATAAAAAGGTTTGTGTATTATGCGGAATCGAGTGACCACGTTCTCTACCATTCCATTGCGCAATAGCCAGCATCATCTCTTTTTCGCATACAGTTGAAACAATTAAGATAACGCTAATTTCTTTTAGTCAAACTTTCTTCAAACTACTCATTTAAATTTACTTTACTCTGCGAAATCTAAAATCACTTAATACGAATAAAAAAATACGATTACCATTTGTTTAAATGTTATAAATAAAACTTATTTACTTTAAAGATAGAATTGAAGAAAAAAATAGTTATTTTTTTTTATAAAAGAGTACGAATATTTGACATATTGTCATTGTTGAACAATAAAACACCTGATAACAATTTTTTAGTTTTTAAATTAGTAAATTGTGGGATGGAAAAGACTTATTTGATTGAGGGGGAACATATTGTAAAAGTTAATGTATAACAAAAGGCAATAAAAAAAACAAAAAAAATTAAGGAAAAACTGTAAAAATGAATTCTTCCGAAGTCTGATAAATAGTCTGTCTTTGGCCTACCATTAGATGGTCTGCGAATTCCTAAATGTAAAAAAGTAAAGTTTACCAAATTTTTGCATAGTATCAACAGAAGCTCAACAGTGTTTGCTTCTACTCTGCTTCCAATGACAGAGGATGAGAATTTTATGTTTCTTCTCTGCGAATAAAAGCATAGATTACGCATATTAGATAATATCTCTATTTGTAGTATGTATAATCTATATTTACTTACATTAAAATGTCAACTTGCGGAGCATGCGAATTGTATGCCATTGTTCTATGTTAACTCTACTAGTTTGTAATAAGGGTAGATTGATGTTTTTTTTTTGGGTTAATTGGCTAGATAACAAAAAAAAAAAATAATTAACTCAATAGCCCAAATTACTATTCATGATATATAATATGTATTATGGACCATTTTGCCCTTACG